TCCTCAGCAGAGCGCTGCCCAGCAGGGCTCCTTAGCGTTCAGTCACTCGCAATAGCGGACAGGTAGCAACAGCACTTCCGCATCCTACACATGCTCTACTACTACTACTGTGCGGCTATGGCCACCTGTCTTCCTCAGCAGAGCGCTGCCCAGCAGGGCTCCTTAGCGTTCAGTCACTCGCAATAGCGGACAGGTAGCAACAGCACTTCCACCTTCTCGCGAATGAGCAAACTCTTCGAATGAGGCTGGGCCAGTCTTCTTATCGACTCGGACTGGGCCTTTGCTCACTGGCCCCTGCTTGACTTGGTCTGGGCCTGTGCCCGCGGCCTGTTTGCTTTGGAATATTGAGGCCCGGTACCTTCCAGACTTTTCTTGTTGCGCTGCTCCATTTTTGACTGTGGAACTGGACTTTGAGGCCCGGCCTTTGGGGTACCGTTTGAATTTTGACCTTTGGGGCCTTTGGGGCCTTTGGGGGGTACCCCAGAGTTCTATTTCGGCCTGCCCGACCTCTTTTGATGTGGGGACCTTGACCCTGTGACTCGATTTTGGGCTCTGTAACGTGAAAATGCCTGTCAAAGCTGTCTTCTCCTCATTGGGGGACAGCTGTATATACTATATATATGTTCTCTCACCTCACATAGTTTTTTAACGGGCTTTCTGCCATGTCATGGAACCTATCTTTTTTCCTTCACTACCTACCTTCCACTACTTCTAAGGCTATACAGGGGACCCCTGCAAGCATAGCTTTCTACCTCTCTTCGGTGAAGGGAGGTTACCTCTCTCGGTGGAGGGACGTAACGGCATGTTTGCCCCCTTCGCCCTAGCATTTAGGGTGCAGGGTTGGGGCCGCCAGTGGGGGGGCCAACTAACACAAGGACTGAGCATTTGGCAGGAACTGTTTGCCCCCCCTTTTCATCGTCGTCCACACCCCCCATCGAGTAACGGTAGTGTCTAAAGCCAACGTGTGCTCCCCTTTCTTTTTTTTTTTTTTTGCTTTTTTGCTTGGGCAGGTGCTGTATTCACAGTTTGTGAATGAGTTGAGGGATCACAGAGTGAAGCGGGTTCAATTTGTGGAGGGATCCAATAAACTGTTTTTCGATCTATTGGAGGACGAGACACCGGTAAAGAGCGAATTGATGACGAAGGCAAGCACAGATGCAGTGGCAGTGGCAGTGGCAGTGGCGTCGTCGGGCCAGGTACAAATGTTACTGATCCCCTTCAGTCGGTTCGGTATCTGTTTGCTGCAGCCAATCTGTCAATTACCAATGAACCCCCCCCCCCCCCCCCAAAAAAAAAAAAAAAAAAGATTTTTCACCAATCGAATTTCAATTTTTTTGTTTGATATTTGTTAACCGATCCTGGCGAGTGTCTCATGTGTTGTCACACAACTTGTCAGTATTTTCTTCTGAGCCTTTGACTTCTTTTGAAGAGCAAGTTCTTTTGCAGCCATACCTGATACAGCTGGCTGCAGTTAGGAGTGTCTCATGTGCTGTTGATATCTTTTTGAGCCTTCTGTTTCTGAAGTAAGCTTTTTTTTTTTTTTTTTTGGCTATCGAGCATGGTCGGGTGCTGTTACGGGTGTCTCATGTGTTGTTGATATTTTTCGAAGCCTTTGAAAGATTCTTTTTTCCTTTCTTTTCCTGTTTTAACTTTTTGGAGCAAGTTTTTGCCGTTACCTGACATTGTTGGTTGTGTGGCTATACCTTCCTGACATGCTGCAATTTGCTTGCCTCGCCTCACCTCGCCTCGCCTTGACTTGACTTGGGTGGGATTGGCTCGGCTTGGCTCGGTTGTGGCTCGGCTCGCTCGGCTTACTTTCTCATTAGGACAGGAGCTTGGTCAAGAAAGAAGTTATGGGAGGAGTCTCGCCATCATCGCCGATCGAGGTTGAGGGTATGAGTGAAGACGGAAGTTCTGTGCCAGGTACACTGCCAACTGTGCTGAGAAGAAGCAAGGGGGCCCTCAATTTGTCATTTTCTGCATTCCAGTCATTCCAGCGTGCTTTTAATTTTTGGCTTCCGAAGCAACCGATGATGATACACCAGCCATCGCCAGCAACGGTTATAAAGAAGAAATGGCGCTTTGTGACGCGGCGAATTTCGTATGTTTCAAATTTCATATCACCTCCT